CATGGAAAGAGGGCAGTTTCAGGAAACCAGTTCTTCCTTCTCGGAACTTGGCCATATCAGCAACGGAAGAGCCATAAATGGGGGACGCATCGATGTAAGCTAAAGAGAGAATCCCTTTGTAGAGAAGCTCACAATAACACTTAAGAGGCTCGCAGACCTGTATTTTCATTGAGTTGCTGTCGGGGTTTCTGGTTACCAGATCCACAGATTGGCGACGATCGGGAGACTCGTACACAGCCGTTACGGCGGAATCTAAATTCCTATTTTAAAGTTGTCGCAGCTGCGGATATTAAAAATCATCGTCAAAAAGTGCAAGGAAAAAATGTGACCGATAAAGAAGCGACCAATAAGACGCCGAATGGCCACGTGTGATAGACGTTCCTTCTGCGTCTCTGATTGGCTCATTATTAAAGTATGAACTCACCCGGCATTCGGATCATCGCTTGCGATTGGTACTGACATACAACGACTCGTAATGTTTTGACAGACATTACACTTGGAGGATGGTACCAATGTAGTCTGAAATGGGGCTTTGTTAAGGAATTAAGGTTCCAGAACCGGGCGCAATTCGGCTTAATGGGGGCACCAAATAGTACTCAGCTGAGCTTGAACAGGCCACCACGGCAAAATTTGTAAAAGCGTGTGACCAAAGTGGCACACCATTCTGAGCTTCGCAGAACTTGACCGGTCTCACCAAAATAGGACCTGTTGACCGAATTGAACTAGAAAAAAAACTAGCGGAAAAGCAGAATGCACCCTCTTAACCGAACAGCGCCAATAATCGTCATCGGAAGTGAGTGCACAGTTTGTCTTGAACTCGCATCTATTACTTATTTCCTAATTAAACGAGAATCCCAGTGAAAGGGCAGAAACGTAGGGCAGAAAACCCGAGCCAGGTATGATTTGTTCAGAAGTTGCAGTGGTCCAGCGATTAGCAATAGGTCGCAGGACTGTCCGTTGCTCGAGTCGCCGAGTATAAACGGCACCAACACACAAATGTGTACCTCTCCCTGAGTGCTCGCAGCAAAACCACTTATCCTGAGCCCTACTACTCGCCCAACGATCCATTTGTTGAAAATGCCATTACCTTGGCCATGTCGTGCGAGATGAACTGTCCAAACTGCATAACCATGGCGTTGTAGTCTTCAGAGACCACGGAGGCATGAGACGACGTGAGATGTCGGGTGACAGCTCGAGGCGAAGGGCGCAGATGAGTCATTATTGATCCTGAACAGAAGTGAATTTATGAATGGGGAAAAAAGCAATGTTCCAAAGATTGAGGCAAGTCCTTACCGACTGGTTCTGAGAGGCCATTGTCGTAAACAGTAGGCAGAAGGCGGGTGTAGGGACGATAAGCCGCTCCTCTCAATGGATTCTGAAGATTGTTACACGTTCCATCCATTGTCCTGGAAGAGGATCACATTAACTTGGCAGTATTCATTCTACTATGCCAACGAGGTCGTCAGATGATGCTCTTTATTGGTATCGGCCTGACGTTTCGTCTAGACCTCATCTTCAAACGCCTTTATTCTCTAGAATTTCTTGTGGAATAACAGGAGACGATCGAAATCCCAATGGGAAAACGACCCCCCCCCTTATTGACTACCCCAGGACAGAACGTTGTGTTAGTGGCAGTAGTAGGACGTCAATAAGCTGGCAAGCGCGCGGGCGCCCGCGGCGCCCCCCCATTGCTGGCGGAATTTTATTTCTGGGGAGATGTCCGGAGAAAAGCAGCGGTTGAGAAAATTAGTTGAGTGGTAGGCAGATCTACCAAGGGAGTAGATTTTAATTTTGCAAAAATTCTCCTCAACGGCAGAACTTGCTGTGTTGTAAATGAGACATATAGTGCTGCCCCCATATAGTAGGAATTGTGGCGTCTCACTAGGGAGGTCGTTCAGGACGTGGAGCGCTTTTTGAAAACGGTTTTTTGCATGATGTGGGGTCACGTGCATGGAGTACCAAACTGGTGTTCATTTTTCCTGAACGCCTCTGGGAATGCCAAAAATGGAGTGAAAAAAAGTCCATGGAAACCGACTGTTATTGAGCCTGAATGGGCTCTAAATCACTCGCAAGTTCGGCCAGTTGCTGCCTATAGGGTCCTTATAAAGGTTGCTGGTATCTATGAGAAAAGTGGTCGTCAATGGGGTCTTACTTGTGGCACGTAGTTAAGAGTCGACGGCCAATTCGAATGGGCTCTTAAGCAATCGAAGTGGTGCCTGTGCCAACGATCGTGGCCTGAGTGGATTAGCGTGAGGGTCTCAAGCAATACAGTGGGGATGGGGATGATGGTTCGACTCCCTCGGCTTGCACGTTTTTGCATTTTTTATTTTCCGTTGTTGTCGCTTCCATATACGTCTGTTAATGAATTTTACTCGGATATCTGCCATTTATAGGCACATCCCTAAATATTGGGTTGGCACATAAGTACTTTCGTTTTTTTTCAACCGGAAATTTCGTTCCAAAGATGAAATGTTTTGCTAGCAAGCTTGATATCATCTGATAGGAAACTTCACGTAGTTTTAGAATATCAAAACGGCTTTGGTTGAGGGAATAATTTTTGTGGATTTTTTAGTCGTTGAAGTTGAAAGCGAAGTCGGCGAAAATTAGCACCTTCGACAACTGCCTCTATTTACGTATAGTCGAAGTGCTAAAATCGCTTAAGCTGCTCCATACATTTGGAAAAGGTCGAGCTAGAAGTTCCAGCAAGGGAATCTCACTAGGACGCTTTGGAACGAATTTCAAGAATTTTGAAGTTACCAACCTTCACCTCGCCGATATTGGGCAGCTCACGTCTGTTCCACCTGAAATTTTATGCTAATATTTTGAATGTTTCGCTGATATGTTTTGCATGTTCTGATAGCAAATTTCGTGCTCTATAACACTGCTATAGAAATCTGTTCTCCAGAGGTGTTTGCTTTCTGTTAAGTTCAGGTTATCATTACGGAACGCGAAGTCGTTGAATA